ATACTGTATTTCTTTAGCTGAAAAGCCAAGTTTAATCCAATACTCTATAATTTTATGTGTCACTAAGGGGACAAGGTGGAAAGCAACACTGTCAACTATGACAAATCAACATCATTAATCTGAAAGGAGAGTGGTGGTACATGCTTGTTATCCCAGCACTTAAGTGGCTGAGGCAGGAGGATCGTTGTGAGTTTGAGGCCAGTTTGTGCTACAAAGTGACTTCAAGGCCAGCTTGAACTACATAGTAAAACCCTGTCTCAGAAAGATTTTTTTTTTTATTTTTTATTTTTTGGCAGAACAGGGGATTGAACTCAGGCCCTTGCAAATGCTTATTCTACTGAGCTATCTTCCCAGCCCTTTCAAAAAGATTTTTAAAAAGTTATCAGTCAAATGTTTATCAATCAATCAAATCAAATGTGCCTCCACATTACATAGACAATCAAACAAGTAAAATGAAGTGCATACAAGAATTAGTAAAATGGAATAAGACAGTATTCTGGATCTTTCTACCAGAAATGAAGCAATAAAGAATGCCCAGCAATTTGACAGTGAAAACTTCTTGGGCTGGCCAAATAGCTCAGTGGATTAAAGCTCCTGTAAGCAGGCACAGGTACCCAGGTTTCAATCTGACTGTAATCCCAGCACTTGGGAGGCTGTAAATAGGCAGATCACTACAAGTCCGATCTAGTAGTGAGACCCTGAACACCCTGTAGACTCTTCACTAAGAAAATACAGGAAAAAAGAAAACTTCTTAAAACTCTCTTCTGAAAGATCTAAGTAAATGGCAAGATACACATTTGTAGGTGGGATTACTTAATATTGTAAAGAATCCATTTCCTCTTACTAATTCCAACCAAGATTTCAGGGAAGGTTTTTAAGGCACTTGAAAATTTTTATTTAAAGTTTATATGGAAAAATAAAAGGTTAAAGAAAGAAATTTTGGAAAAGAAGAGGAAAAAGAGGGTGTATCAGAAGAAATGTATTCAGATACAAAAATCAGAGAATGCTACTACAGTTATGTAGACATATGCTGTATCGGCTCAGTCCACAAACCCAGGGGGCACATAGGAGTAGAAGTGATTGCTAACCAATACGACAGAGGTGCTTCCAGTTTTCTGGCCTGCTGTCCTCCAGTATGTGAACTTCGTCTCCCTCCTAGTGTTATGCTTCCAGGTCTCATGTCTATATTGTAGGCATTTATTTTATTTTATTTTATTTTTATTTATTTGTGTGGGGAGGGGGCAGCTCAGCCCACCAGGGGGCGGGGCTGGCTGGCATGTGGTACTGGGGGATTGAACCACGGTCCCTGCGCTTTGCTAAGCTTGTTCTAAGTAGGTGCTTTAGACCACTGAGCCATCTCACCAGCCCTGTAGGCATTTATAAAGTGGAGGCAGCATGAAGGGGAAGAAGAAATGCATGTTTTTCTATGGTGATCATGTTCTTTATCTCTAGGAAAAATTTCCTTTGTCTCATTCTTCCTAACCACGACCAGCACTTCCTGCAGAAAACACCTGTGAAAATAAATATTTGCAGGGAACACATTGCTGTCTCAAATAAAATTGGAATTTGGTGAGTAAAACAGAAAGGGAGATTGGATGTTTAAAACATAATCAAGGTAGTGGAAATCGCTACCTCTGTGGTATTGTGCTGTGGGGTAGGGAGACGGGATTGTAAATGCCAGAAAGAGAGAGGTTGGGCGGGCCACCATCCCCATGTCTGATCAGGAGGCAAAACCATCAATTGGGGACTTGAGGAATAAGAAGGTGAATACATTAAACTCAAAGTCACTGGACAGGATAGCAGTGAGATTCACTTCAAAGTGAAAATGACAGCACATCTCAAGACACTCAAAGAATCATACTGGCAAAGACAGGGCGTTCCAATGAATTCACTCAGGTTTCTCTTTGAAGGTCAGAGAACTGCTGATAATCACACCCCAAAAGAATTGGGAATGGAAGAAGAAGACGTGATTGAAGCTTATCAGGAACAAACGGAGTCATTCCATGGCTTAGATATTCTTTTTGTTCTTTTTCTTTTCCCTCAATCCTTTTTTATTTTTTAAAAATAGTTCTTTTGTAATGTGGTGCTCAAAATGAAAATGAAAAC